CCGGGGCGGGCCGGGCCGGGCCGGCGGGCCGGGTGATGGCGCTGCTGGACCTGGCCCTGGAGGGAATGGCCGTCTTTGGGTTTGTCCTCTTCCTGGTGCTGTGGCTGATGCATTTCATGGCCATCATCTACACGTGAGTGAGGGGCAGCTCGAGGAGCTCGGAGCGGGGCTGCAGGCCTCAGGGACAGCTGGGGTTAGGGGCATTTGCGCTTTGGCGGGGACTGGGCTCGGATGCGGGTGGAGAAAGCGAATTCTCAGGCTATTTTCCCCATTCGGTGGGTTTGTCCTCTTCCTGGTGCTGTGGCTGATGCATTTCATGGCCATCATCTACACGTGAGTGAGGGGCAGCTCGAGGAGCTCGGAGCGGGGCTGCAGGCCTCAGGGACAGCTGGGGTTAGGGGCATTTGCGCTTTGGCGGGGACTGGGCTCGGATGCGGGTGGAGAAAGCGAATTCTCAGGCTATTTTCCCCATTCGGTCTCCCCTTGGGCCGGCTGGGGCGGGGGGGGCTTCGGGAGGTGAAAGTGTTTGGCGAGTGGAGGGCTTCCCGGGTTGCGGTCGACTGCCCAGCCTGGGGAAAACAGACCGCTCTTGCGCGTCAGACAGGAGGTTGCTTGCTAGGTTTGATTGTGTTGGGGATTTGTACGATTTTTCCCATCTGGGCCAAGATGTATGGTGTATTGTTTTTTCTCTCGACGTGGGTCACATCTCTGTTACGGCGATGATCGTTCTATTCCTCTGGGAGCTGTTGGTAGCTACCTGGAGACCTCCTTGGGATTTTCTTCTTCCTGGAAGACCTCTGTGCCCTTAAATAAATGTGGAACACCTGTCCACCTTGAAAAATGCCCACCAAACCACGGAGCTGGCCTTCCAGCTTTAAGTTATGTCAGTTTGTATATTTCAGAGTGGTTTTCTGTCTTTGCAGTTCTTCGTTTATTGTCTTGTTTAGATTTGTCTCTCCTCCTTGCCCTCTACCTCTTTTCATGATTTAGCTAACAAATACTTCTCGAGGCCTAGTAGGCACTGTTTTCCTCTTCCAGGGCTGGAGACAGTGGTTGTAGGCAGAAAAGAATTCCTGTCCTCGTGCAACTTAGGGTCTAGAAGGAAGAGACACAAAAATCCAAATAAAGTTATTTCTGATAGTGATGGAGCCTATAAAAAAATGCAGAACAGGGTGATAGGATGAATAAAGATCTAGGATATGTGGCTTTTTAAAATATTTTAGTGGTTTAAGTGTCTTTAAAATGAAATATGCCTATCTAAATAAATGAAGGAATTGTGCGAAGCACATTGTTCATATAGATTCGGTTGACTTTTAGCCTGGGGGAAAAAACAACAGCAACAGTACAATAATCTTTACCACCAATTTGAATAGAGTGTATGTTCGTAAAAGGGAGGACCTTGTAAAAAAATTATTTATTTATTTAATTCCATTTGTTACTATTTTTTAAAATGTGACCAGAGAGAGAGAGAGAGAGAGAAAGGAAAAGCGAGAAAGCAAGCCGCCAGGCCCTGGATTGGAACTGCGGTGGGCCACGTAGGAATCCAGTGCCTTAAGCACCACGCCACCTGCTGGCCCTAGAGAGGGAAGACTTTTAAGAAATGAATTTAGGTTTTAGGGGTTTCTTTTTCTTTTCTTTTCTTTTCTTTTTTTTTTTTTTTTTTTGAGAGGTTTTTGCTATAGGGCACGTGTGCTTGCCAGACAGACAGAGAGAGACATAGAGACAGAAAGCGAGAAATCACCCCCCCCATGGGGGTGGTCACGCTGCAATCCCTTCTCCATTCTCCTCTCGGGATCTTGGGCACTCACGCACACGTGCCCGGCGTGAGTTCTAAGCCACCAGGTGCAGGATGCGGGAATCCAGCGACATAGCCATTATGCTAACTGCTGGTTCCCAAGGGGTTTCTTTTTCTTTTAACTACATAAAAGTTTGTTTTCTTTCTGGAAACATTGCACTGGATGAGTGTTGATTGCCATTTCCTGGTACTCGAGAAAGATGCTACTTGTGTAAAGTACACTGGTATTTCTTTGCACGTGAAAGGAAACGTGCCAGTTGGATACTGTTGATCTTGTTTCCGGGAGTAGTTACTGTACACATTCTGACGTTTATTTTGAATATGTCTTCTTTAACATTTTTATTTTTACAGTCAGAAAAGTTACAAATGCTTATTGTATAAGGAAATCAGATAACACAGAGAGGAATAAAGAAGGAAACACACATATAGAAAATATATATTAGCTTGTTAACCTTTGGGACTAACCTAGTTATCTCTCTCTCAAACACACACACAGACACAGGAGAGGAGAGGGAGAGAGGAGGAGTTGGGGGTGGGGGGACAGGGACCATACTGTGATTACTGTTCTGTAACTTGCTCTTCCAATTCATCTGTTTAGTCGCTGCTTACTGAGAAGCTATTTGGTACAAACCCCTGTTCCAGGTGCTAGAACTAAGAGTGAAAAATAAGACTTCCAAGTTCTCTGCTCACATGGAAGTGTCACGTAAAATGTCATGTCCATTTTTTTCCATAAAAACAAATTATGCACTTGGTCACTTTTCAGTAAGACATGTAGTATTTTTGTCTATGAGATACTAAATAACCTTTATTCGTTAGTATTGAGGAGGCCTTTAGGTTGTTTCCAGTGATCTAGGTTCCAGCCAACACAGTGATGAAAGTGGTGTTCTCAGTTTACATTTCTGAAAGAGGAGTTATTGTGCCTGAAGTAGTGAGCATTTTAAACTTGGACATGTTGCCCTTTGGAAACATTGTACCTGTTCACAGGGATAACACTGTAACAGACCTGGTTTGGTTTTTCTCTTACCAACTCTTAAGCACCAGGCTTTTCACTGTTTTGCTGTTTGTATTTTTATTCCTTTAATTCCTAGACTCACTGAAAACGTTTTCATATCGTTTATGCTGATTACATTTCCTTGGAAATGACATGCTCAGAATACTTTGCTTTACTGCAATCTATTGCTGAGTTCACGTTTTTTGATGTGAAGGTTATTCTGTTATCTGTCACATGTTGCAATTTTTTTTCCCAGTCATATTTTTGTCTTTCAACTTTGTACCTGTCTTTGACATGTAGAAAAGAGTGTGAGCCTGTGTTTTAGGTAGGCAGATCTTCTATGAACTGTGTTTTCTGACTCTGGTGTAATGTTAAAACCTCATTCTCCCCTATTATATATTAGTATCTGTTTCTTTTTAGTATTCTGAGTTTTCTTTCCTAATTTTTTTTTACATTTTTCTTTTTGGTTCACACAGTATTTTACAGTTCTATGATGAGATCTAGAACCCTAAATTTAGTATCACCTAAGTATTCAGTAGTCAGCCACTTGTGCCAAAATCATTTGTCAAACAATTACTTGGTTATTGCACTGTTTTGAAATGTTACCTTTGCAGACCAGGTAGATCCTTCTTTGTACTTGGTTATGTTTCGCAGCATCTAGTCACATCACAGCTCTACTGTACTTTTAGGAGTTTCAGTTAATGAAGTTAATTAATTCATGGGGCCATCCCCGTATTCTTTTACAAAATCTTTAGGTTTTTATACGACCTTTTAAAATTAGTTTTTAAAAGATTTATTTATTTATTTAATTCCATTTGTTGTTATTATTTTTTAATTTGACCAGACAGAGACAGCGAGAGAAGGGGAAACTGAGAAAGCAAGCCACGCAGTCTGGACTCCAACCAGGGTCGGCCATATGGGAATCCAGCACCCTTATCCACCCACCAACACCACCTGCTGGTCCCCGCTTTTTATCCATTTTACTTAAAGATGAACTTCAGAATATTTTTTCCAGATACTTATACAATCTTGTTTTTTGTTTGTTCATTTTATTTTGGTTTAAATTGAATTTACAGCCCACTTTGGAGAAAATTTACTTCTTTCTGTGGTATATTGTCCTCTCTCCCGTTATGCGTACATAATGTTATGCTTTTAAAATTAAAATGAACACTACTGATGTACCTTAATATTCTGAATAACCATTTGAAAATGTTTACACTCTTAGACTGCAGACAACTCCAGAATTGTTTTAGGTTTTTGTTTGTTTTTTTGGAGGGTTGTGGTTTGTTTTTGTTTTTGTTTTTTCCACTTAATACCTAGTGGAAGTTTTCTTAAAATACTTTACTTTTGGTGGCATAATGCAAACATTTAGCTAAGTTAAGATGTTGTAGAGAGGCTTTTTTTTTTTTAAGAATTATTTTATTTATTTATTTATTTATTTAATTTTGAGAGGTTTTAGCTGTAGGGCATGTATGTTCACCAGAAAGAGACAGAGAGACAGAAAGCAAGAACTCATCCCCGCCTCCCGCCAGGGATGGCCACACCACAATCCCTTCTTCATTCTCTCCTTGAGATCTTGGGCTCACATGCATACGCACTGGCATGAGTTTAAGCCACTGGGTCCAGGACTTGAACTTCGGTTGACTACATGGAAGTCCAGCCACAGCCATTTCGCCAACTGCTGGTCCTTAGAATTATTTTATTTTATCATTACTATTTTTAAATGGTCCAGAGAGAAAGAAAGGGAAAGTGAGAAAGCAAACTGCCAGGTCTGGTACTCGAACCACAGTCAGCCATGTGAGAGTCCGGTGATTTAACCACCATGCCACCTATTGGCCCATATTTTTTTAATGCCATGCAAAGTTACTGTTTTGTTTAATAGTAACAAGTTCCTGAAAAGTTATCTGAAAATAGAACAAGAAAATACCATTAATTTACATAGATTAGAGTGATATGCTATTTAAAGGAATTTAGTGAATACTTTTTTGAAATGTATAACTGAATATAAAGCAGATAAGCAACAGCTTAATTTATAGGTAAATTGACCTTTCCTCTGGTCTGGTCCCACCCTCAAAGTTATTTACAGGTTTGATTTGGTATCCTTTTTATTGAAGTGAAGATACTTCCGAGTTTAATACAAGAGTTGTTTTGGGACCAACAGATGAGTGATTACATTGCTGGGGTCCTACATGGATCCAGTGCCTTGAAACTCACATTGGGCACATGTGCGTGCATACCCAAGGTCCCAGGAGGAGAATGGAGAACAAGGGATTGTGGCATTGGGGGTGATTTCTCGATCACAATACTGTACTAGAGGGGAAAAAATCACACAGGAAAAGCTTTGTCT